TCCTGACCTCAAGTGATCCACCCACCTCAGCCTCCCAAAGTGCCGAGATTACAGGCGTGAGCCACCGTATCCAGCCTGTCGGGAGATTTTTAATTACTGATTCAATCTCTATACTAGTTATAAGTCATATTCAGATGTTCTATTTTTTTCATGATTTGGTCTTGGTAGTTTGTGTTGCTAGGAATTTGCCTACTTCGTCTCGGTTATTCAGTTTATTGGAGTACAGCTGTTCACAGTACTCTCTTACAATCCTTTCTTATTTCTGTAGAGCAGTAGTAATGTCCTCACACACTCAGTTCTGATTTTAGTTATATGAGTCTTTTCTCTTTCTTTCCTAGCCCATCTAGTTAAAGGTTTGTCAATTTTATTGATCTTTTCAAAGAACCAACTTTTGGTTTCATTGATTTTCTCTAGTTTTCCAATTCTCTGTATAGTTAAAATGTCCTAACTTGAATTTAGAAGCTTAACTTCAGTAACATAAAAACCCTGCTCCTTTACAGCTCTGTCTCCATCCTTTTCAATCACTGATGTCACAAAATTACAACTTTACATATTGAGTGCCCTAAAACACAAGCTAGTAATTCATGAGTAAAACTAGTAAGGCATGAGTAGCTTAAATTATGTAGAAAACAAAATGTTAGAATTTACAAACTAAAATTACAATAATATCAGTTTTAGACTAGCAATTGGTTTTTAAATATATGTCTCTTAAATCATGTAGACAACAAATTACAAATGGAGTTATAAACCACTGTTACAACAATACAAATTTTTATTTTTTTTTATTATTATTTTTAAAAGACAGGGTTTCACCTTGTTGGTCAGGTTGGTCTCGAACTCCTGACCTCAAGTGATCCACCGGCCTTGGCCTCCTAAAGTGCTGGGATTACAGGTGTGAGCAACCACGCCCAGCCTATTATTATTATTACTATTATTTTTGAGACAGAGTTTCACTCGTGCTGCCCCGGCTAGAGTGCAATGGCGTGATCTCACTCACTGCAACCTCTACCTCCCAAGTTCAAGCTATTCTCCTGCCTCAGTCTTCCAAGTAGCTGGGATTACAGGTGTGTGCCACCACGCCCAGCTAATTTTTTGTACTTTTAGTAGAGATGGGGTTTCTCCATGTTGGTCAGGCTAGTCTTGAACTCCTGACCTCAGGTGATCTGCCCGGCTCAGCCTCCCAAAGTGCTGGGATTAAAGGCATGAGCCACTGCACCTGGCTAATACAAATTTTTATAACTGAACATGTATTTACTTTCATATAGTATCCTTTCATTTCAACCTACAAGGTTTCTCTTTAATAGTTCTCTTGAGCATTACTTGCAGGCCAGGTCTACTGCTAAAAAAACTTCAGCTTTTGTTTATCTGGGAATGTCTTAATTTCTCCCTCATCTTTGAAAGACAGTTTTACTGCATATGAGTCTTGGTTAACAGGTTTTTTTACTTTAAGCACTTTGAATACATTGGCCCTCTGTCTTCAGGCCTTTGATGAGAAATTTGCTGATAATCATTTAGGATCCCTTGTGATATGGTTTAGCTTTGTGTCCCCACCCAAATCTCACCTCGAACTGTAATCCCCAGGTGTTAAGGGAAAAACCTTGTGTCAAGTAAGTGGATTATGGGATGGTTTCCTCCATGCCATCTTGTGATGTGAGTGAGTTCTCTCAAGATCTGATGGTTTTATAAATGGTAGTTTTTCCTGGGCTCTCACACATTTCTCTACCCTGCTGCCATGTGCAAAGGTCCCCTGTTTTTGATTGGGGATTGAAAGTTTCCTGAGGCCTCCCCTGTTATGTGAAACTGTGAGTCAATTAAATCTCCTTCCTTTATAAACTATCCATTCTTGGGTAGTATCTTTATAGCAGTGTAAAAATAGACTAATAAATCTTGTATGTAATGAGGAGCTTTTCTTTTCCTATTTTCAAGATTCTTTGGTTTTTGAAGGTTTGATTATAACATGTCTCCATGTGAGTCTCTTTGAGTTCATCTTATCTGGAGTTCACTGAGCTTCTTAGATGTTTATATTCATGTGTTTCATCAAACTTGGGAAGTTGTCAGCCATTATTTTTTCAATAGTTGTCTCTGCCTCTTTCTCTCTTCACCTTCTGGGACTCCCAGAATAGATGTGTTGGTCTGCTTGATGGTAGCCCACATGCCGCTAAGGCTCTGTTCACTTTTCTTCAATCTTTTTTACTATTTCTCAAGCTCAATAATTCCTTTTTTAGTCTGTTTGTTTCCCTTTAGGTTTTCTATCTCTTCATTGATATTGTCATTTTGTTCATACATGATTTTCTTGACTTTCTGCAGGTTTTCCTTTAGTTTTCTGAGCATCTTTAAGACAGATGTTTTAGAGTCTCTGTCTAGTAGATCTGCCATCTGGCCTTTCTTTTAGGGACAGTTTCTGTTTATTTTGTTTTCCCTTTAAACGAGCCATATATTCCTGTCTCTTCATAGGCCTTCTGTTTTTTTGTTTTTGTTTTTTTTTTGCTGACTACTGGACATGTAAGTCTAACAATGTGGTAACTCTAGAAATTAGATTCTTCTTCCCCTTATGCTGGGTTTGCTGTTTTTGTTATTTTTATTTATTGTTTTTGTTTTCTTTTGATTGTTGCAGGCTGTTTCTGTGCAGAGGATCAACTCAAGATGTAAATTTAAGGTCTTTCCAGATCTTTCTTGAGCCTGTGCCTTTCCTTGTGTACGCACAGTCACTTTCTAATTTTCTAAATTCTCTGATTTTCCCCATAGTTGTTTTTGAATGTCCCAGTCTTCTAATGTCTGGTTCCCAAAAAGGGAAAAACAGAAAAATGAAAGCAGGGAGCAACTGGTGCTGGCCCTTTAAATTCTCTTGAAGCTACGTCAGCTGGAAGGGGAGGGCTTGTAGCAACAGAGGGAGGTGCAATAACAACGGCAGCCTACCTCTTTGTCTGCACCTCCGTGATCAGAAGCAGCAAGCAGGGATCCTGAGCACAGACACCCGCTATTTGGAGAATAGGATCCTTCTTGCTCACCCTGAGCCCCTCAAGCTGTGTGCAAGGTGCTCCAAGAACATGTGCACGACTGTCTGTGGGACATGGATAACCACTACTGTGCCAAAAGCTGAAACTAACCAAAATTAACCCCGATTTGCCATCCAAGCCTTCCCCTGGAAGTTGCAAGCCTTCAGTAGACTCCAGAGTTCCAAAATGGTTACATCATATAGATACTTCTGGTGCAACTGTGGTCTGAGTGGGGAGATAGCTTCCTGCTCTGCCATTATCCCAGGATCCTCCCAATGACTCTTCTTTAACCTCCACTCTCGTTTGTTCCTATTTGTCCGATTTACTCTCAATATCCTAATGCCCTCAATACCCTAAATTTGCCCTCAAATTTAGATGCCTTTTCTTGTGGCGTCTAAAGCTTTTTTCATGGCTTTAACCATTCCTTGTTACTTCAGGTTCTCACTAAAAGCAAAGCCTTCCGTTAGAACAGTCTGCTCACGAGGATCACATTCTGTTGTGCTTTGTAAACATTTAAGTAGGGCTCCTTTCTAAATGTTTGTTTTGTTTAGAGACCGGGTTCTCATTCTGTCCCCCAGGCTGGGGTATAGTGACATGATCATAATTCACTGCAGTCTTTAACTCCTGGGCTCAAGGAATCCTCCCACCCTCAGCCTCCCTAATAGCTGGAACCATAGGTACAGCTAATTTTTTTTTTCTTTTTTGTAGAGAAGAGGGTCTACATTACCCAGGCTAGTCTCAAACTCTTGGCTTCAAGTGACCCCCGCCCCCTGCCCAGCCTCCCAAAGTGCTGGGATTACAGGTGTGAGCCACCATGCACAGCTCCTCATCTGAGTCTAGCTCTGATCAAGAAGCACACACCTCCTCTGGGGACTTCTTTAGTCTCTTTTAAACCACGAACTTTTGTCCTTCATGACACTGACTTCCTTGAAAGCTCTAAGCCCCATGACCTGCAGTGATTGACACACAGCCCAGTGCTCACCTGGAGCAGGCTCCACTGGCCACAGCTGCCCTGCTACTGCAGGGGCAGGGGATATAGCTTCCCCAGGGACCACCTGACAAGGTCCCTGGAGCCATTCTTATTTCCATAGCAGCCCTTTCTCTCTAGGTCTCATCACATCTCCTGTCTTCCATGAATCGTTCAAAAATTTTTATCTGTGATCATTTTCTATCTGGTTTTTAAGCACTATTATTAATTAATCTATTCTTTTAAAAATAGCCACGCTTTTCTGCTAGATGATGAGCTTAAGGTCAAGAAAAGGCAGAAACATGTATTCTATCTGCCTTCCTTTCAAAGACCACTCAGGCACTAAGGAGGCCACACTTCCAAACTGAAGTCATCCAGAAGCCATGTGAGGGAACGGATGACATGCACCCTCACGGGCTATAGCCACTGAAGGAGCTGCCCTGGAACGGCCCTGCAGCGCCTGTGGCGGTCGGGCATCAGGCCAAGAGCTCCAGGTGTGCTGTCTTTTATCCATGCCCACTTTTACCGAAATGATCCCATCCTCCTTTTCCTGAGAACACTGAACTTACCACCTAGCACCTAGGTTCCAAAATGCTTAGAAATATGGGCTTCAGACAAGCAACAAACAACCAGGGAATGATTCTGCTACACAAAAGATGCTGAGACCTTACCCAAAAAGCACTGAAAATTAAAAATACAATAATTTTTTAAAAAAACAAAAGATGCTGAGACTTCCTCATCTGTGTCCTCCCTTCTTCCCTGCCCTAGACTAAGGCTGCTTGGAACATTCTGCATGTATACCTGGACAGGAAGGGCCCCAGGGTGCCGGGTGGTGAGAGGTGGTTAGCTCTAGCCCTCTGGCACAGCTGAAAGATACCCTGCACCTCAGAGGAAAATGTGCAGATGTTTGCAAATAAACACCTAAGGAGACAAATGCTGGCGCTGCCACAGGGCAAAGTATAATTCTACCAGTGACCATCAGGGCTTCAGGTCCAGGACACTGCAGAAGCTCACAGTGGAGCACTCCTCTGCATTACCTTGTCTATAGTGAGCATGTAGAAGTGGGTGATGTCGTTCTCGTGCGCATGCTTGATTCTTGCCATGCACTCCTCCTCGTCAATCACCTCCCCGACGTACTCGTTAACAAATTCTCCCTGGAAATCACAAGAATGTGGCCATGACAAAGAGCATGCTGACTAGCCCTCAGTGTCAGGGCTCAAGAATCCCTATCACGATCACTTAGAACAGGCACCACACACATCGGCATACCTCCGTGGAGGGCTCCTACAAAGTCTTCATAAATTAAATTCAAAGGATCTCAGACATATCTGTATGTAAAGGTTGCCAATGAGAAATGTGTTAAGCGTTCACGAAGTGGCAACATGTCAACCCTTGCTTCCTACATAACCTTGTCTCAGGAACGCTGTCTGATAACCAAGCTTCTACATAACCCACTTTACACGGTGATCCCCACAACAGAGAAAAGAGCTACAAAGAATCTGACGGGCTATACAGCTAGAGTCTGGGTGAATCAGCAGTCAGGCAGGTGAGGGACAGGGTGCTGGGGAGGTGTTTTCAAGCAATCTTTTATGCTGCTGCTGGAACTGGCACCAGGCTGGAACTTTCTGTGCTGGGTCAGCCCTGATATGGACCTGTGGTCTGAGACTACCCACCCACTAGGCCATGCCAAAACACATCAGGGTCAGCAATTCCACATCTCTCAGGCCCTGGATGCCCTTGGGATGCAGTCTGGGAGCAGAAGCAGGAGGTCAGCAGTCCTGGTGCCTACCAATGACTTGGTCCTAGACTGTGCCAGGACCACCCCTCACAAGAGGAATCCCCTTAACACCTCCCTGGTGAGTGCTCCCAAGCACCTGGCTCCTATCCCAAAGGAAAGTGGGTCACTTCACAAATCTTCTACTTCATAAAAATAACCATCAGAATTCTGACATAACACGTGCTTTATGGGAACGTATGAGTTTTAGCAATAACTTTCAGATAACATTTTAAAATATTCAATTGTAATAATTTAATCCAAAAAAATATTTCAGGTCAGGTACAGAGGCTCTTGCCTGCAATCCCAGTGCTTTGGGAGGACTAAGCAGGAGGATGGCTTGAGGCCAGGAGTTCAAAATAGGCCTGGGCAACACAGCAAGACCCCATCTCCAAAAAAAATAAAATAAAATTATTAGGGCATGGTAGTGTATGCCTGTAGTCCCAGCTGCTTGGGAAGTTGAGGTGGGAGGACAGCTTGAGCCCGGGGCTCTGAGGCTGCAGTGAACTACCGTCATGCGACTGCCCTCCAGCCTAGACGACAGAGTGAGACCCTGTCTCAAAACAACAAAAGTAATTTTTTCCCAAAAAATACCATTTTCACATAAATACAAAACCACCACAAGCAAACCTAAGTCTAATTACCCAGTGAACCATAATTTCTCAAAAGCAGGGGAGGGGATAAGGATGCACACCTTTCTGATGTCCCTCTTGGCGACCAGGCCCCACCCTTTGCCATCTGTCTTGATTATCTTGGTCTCTGGGTACTGGCGCTTGGTGAAGCACTGGTTCTGACAGAACTCGCCTGCAGGACACACCTGCGGGTGGCACTCAAACATGAGCATCCTGTTCAGACACTCCGAGTCAAAGCCACAGGGATTCTCATCTGTGGGCTTGCAGTTACACTTGGGGATTTCAGAAATATCCGCTGTGTAGATCTGGACTTTCCCGTAAGGCTTATTCACCTGCAAGGAAGGAGGAAGCTGTCTTGGCCCACAAGTCAATGAAGAGCCTTCTGGATAACCCAGCACACCCACCACTGCCTCTCCTTACCCAGCCTCTGGGTGACCTTTCGGAAAGCTTCAGAGGCCTGGCTGGGAGACCCTCATCAAAACAGCCCCTCCCCAGATCCCAGAGGAGCTCGCCTCTGCTTCTTAGCACAGGAGGCAGGCAGGTCAACCCCTGACGCCCTCTCACGTTATTTTATCTTAGTGTCTGTGCTCCTTGTTGATGAACAAGAGCTGACACGTATCCAGCCAGGCCACTGGAAGATGAAGAGAGAAAACGCATGCTGACTGCCAAGTACACTGCAGGGTGTCCAGCACACGCTAGGTAAGAGCTCTCCTGAGCAGCTTCCTGACCCATCCCTCTGACCCTTCCTTTACCGAGCACCAGCAGTGAGACATGCAGGAGGCCACCCAGAGGGAGCAGTGCCAGGCAGGAGGGCACAGCCTCTACTCTCATGACCCTGTGATTTATTTTTCATCTAAGACAAGCAAACAAATAATAAAGCAGCAGAGACAGCTAAAAAACAGCTGGGGTAGAAATGGATCATCTTAGGGAAGAGGTGGTAAATGACACCATTTTCACTGCTGTGGTGTGACAAACTGTACAACACTTTGGAGAACAATCTGAGAATATTCCCCAAGAATCTAAACATTTCATGCCCTCTGACCTTGGGATTCTGTTTCTGGGAATCCATCCCAAAGAAAATCTTATATAAAGATGAATACAGAGAATGGTTTTTTTTACACACAAAGATAATGACTTGGCAATATCAATATTACGGGAAAATATATTTTCCTTATACACAAAGATATTGACTTGCACATCTTACAAGCAAAGGCGAGGACTTGACCTCATTATGAGGTGGCCGCGCACTCATCACACACACTCGTCAGGAATGGCCACAAGACTCCTGGGGATGGGACTCAAGTGTACCAGCCCTGAGAACAGGCAGCCCTGAGGGGTCTGCAGCTCCCACAGAGCCCTGCCTTGGCTGCACTTCCTCCCACTCTGCTGCTGGGGCTCCCCGGCTCACCAGAATGAACACAGAACTGGCAAGCTCCCCGCTAACCTGCCTCAGTCTCTGAGATAGAGGATCTGTGTGTTTGGAACTCCAGCGACTGAGCCAGGCTGAGGTCAAGTCGGTCCCACATGACCAACTCCCATATAGCCCACCTCCAGCACTTGGCAACAGCCTGGTGCAGGTGGGAACCTCATCCCTCAGCTCCTCCTGCTCTAAGCAGCCTGGTCAGGACTATCACCCCAACCCTTCTCTAGCGACCAAACCAAGCCTCATGCTCCAAGGCAGAACCAAGAACCCCCATGCTATTTGCCTATGGTCTCTTATGTGGCTGTGCACACCAGGCACCATAGATCCTGGCTGGTGACAGCCCTCTCCCCAGCTGTAGCCTGGGTGTGCTGAGAACCGCTCACAACCCCTGGGGGAAGACTCCCTCCACACGCGCATGCACACACAGCTGCGACACACCACCTTGATGTGCTTGTATGGTGGGGGCTTGCGCTCGCTCTCCTGTGTTTCTCGGGCTTCCCTCTGAAGCTTAATTTCACGAAAACGAGCTTCAGCTTCTTGCAGTGCTAAAAAGTCAATGAAACAGGAGTAAAGATTTTAGTAAATAAAGGTATCTACTTTTCAAGCTCCATATTTTTATAGTTCACTCGAAACTTTCAATGTAAATATAGTTTCTGGTTCCCACAAAACAAGAGTCTATGAAAAACTGTCAATGGGCAGGTATTTTTAAATGCAGCCAAGTGTGTGAGAGAGAGTGCTCAGAAAACAGCCATCACCTCTCCACAAAGCAGGCCCACAGTGGAGTTCTGTTGGGAGCTCCCTGTCCTCTGCTGTGGCCTAAGGACAAAGCACCAGGGTCAAAGCCTGGGATTCGCTGTTCTCAGATAGAAAATGAAAATGCAACTGAGGCCAGGCCCAGTGGCTCATGCCTGTAATCCCAGAACTTTGGGAGGCCAAGGAGGGCAGATCACCTGAGATCAGGAGTTCAAGACCAGCCAGGCCAAGACGGTAAAACCCTGTCTCTACTAAAAATTACAAAAAAAAAAAAAATTAGATGCAGTGGCACATACCAGTAATCCTAGCTACTCAGGAGACTGTGACAGGAGAATTACTCAAACCCTGGAGGTGGAGATTGCAGTGAGCCGAGATCATGCCACTGTACTCCAGGCTGGGTGACAGAGCAAGACTCTGTCTCAAAAAAAAAAAAAAAAAAAAAACAAAAAAAAAAAAAAAAAAAAAAAAAAAAGAAGAGCCAGGCATAATGGTAGATACCTGTAATCCCAGCTAGTTGGGATGCTGAGACAGGAGGATTGCTTAAACCCAGGAGATAGAGGTTGCAGTGAGCCAAGATAGCACCATTGCACTCTAGCCTGGGCAACAGAGCGAGACTCCATCTCAAAAAAAAAAAAATCCAACTGAGCTCCTCGAAGCAAAAGGAGCTCTGAGAGATGAACCACAGGCTCCCGCAAGAACATAGGAAACATAAACACCTACAATCCGTCCAAGGAAGGTCAGCCCCATGTCAATGCTAGGCATGTCCTGTGGCCTGCCCTGTGCTGGTGGCAGCAAGCCACCACAAAGGGGTCTGGCTCTACAGGATGACTGCATCCACAGACAGGAGACCTCGCTGACGGTCATACCAAACACATAAGGCCACCTCTCAGTTTCATCTCTCACCCTCTTAATAATTTTTGAAAATCTTTCGATGCCTACTGGTTCTTTATGAGACCTCTGAGTGCCCACCGTGCACGCCCACCACTCAGTGCAGGCTGCAAAGCTGTGGGTAACAAGGAGCTAACAGAGCTTTAAAAGAACAGGTCCCTGCCCACAGCCACAGAGGAGTGAGTGCTGACCCGGCTGTGACACGGCGTATGCTCTCCCTGAACAAGCCACCTGCGCACACCTCGGGTTTTCCCTACTGGCCTCATTCTCTGTCAACCTATCGTAAATGCCAGCTTCTCCAGTGAAGAGTCACATCCCCATCCTGCCTCCCTCAAACCTGAGTCATCAGCCATCCGAGTCATCAGCCGGCCACACCACACCCACTGCAGCTGTGGAATCCAAGGCCAAGCACCTTGTCTGCTTGACTACCCGATTCCTGATATGCTGAAAGGTAAAGGAGCCCCCAAGAGCCCATTGCACAAGGTCTAGGCAACAGGACCCTTCCTTCAGCTTTGCATTTTACATAAAGGCAAGCCATGGAACATTTCTGTAAATTATTACTAAAAACAATTTCTGAATAATAGGCTTATAGGATTTTAATGAAATTAATCACAAACCTATGTTACAAAAGTTACCCATGTATCTTATTCTATGCTCAACAAGTAAACCTGACTGCCAACTTTTTCCTAATTTAGAAATACAGACAGAATGTTTAGTCCAGCATTTTCTACAAAGATCAAATTTCAAAAAACAGAAATTAGGGGTAAGAAAATGTACATGAGAGTGCTGTCTCACTCTGTCTGAAAATCTCCGTACCGTTTTTGAAGACTCTTCCGATCCCTCTGACCCCTTGGTAGCGGCTGCCCCGGTCCCCTTCCATGTACGGGAACACTCGCGCCTGATGCGTCCAGTAATAATCTTTAGACCCAAAGAAAAACACAGGGAATTCTCCAATCTCGTGCTTCATTTTCTGAATATTTGGGGGAACATTTTTGGGATGGCAAACTTCTGCCGGCCACCATCTATTATAAATATTAAAAACAGGATTCACAGACTCTTCAGAGAGAGCGATAATCATTTCAATACTAAGTACTGTAAAGCGAACACATGTGAACAGGAAAGACATGACAGCATACGATTCTATGTCTCACACCTGTAGTTCCCCAGTTTCACCCAAATGATATCCTGGAAGTGCAGCTTCTTCCCAGCCCTGCAGTCATTGCAGAACCAGCTGCCGTCAGGCATCTCAATGTTCAGGCAGTCAGGGTGGAAGGCCGCTGGGCAGGACTCACAGCACAGAAGGCTCCCCCCTGCAAGAGGAGGGTGAGGTGGCCAGGCTTAGCCCGTCTTCTATGGCTCAGTCCAGATGCAGTGCTTTACAGTCTACAGCTATTACAGCCTTAACTTTTAATCAGTCATTTAAAAACAGCAATCTGCACATTCATACAAAAGCAAATGTTATTTTCACCACAAATAACTTCCTGTATATTTGCAAAATGATTACAATTAATTTAGAAATACGGTGATATGCTATGAATGTGAAGACAGAGGACACTGTCCACATCCACGAGCACAGCACAGACAGGTACTGAGCCTGCCTTGCTCTGTGGCTCCCGGGAGTGAGAGGCGCGCGCGCTGCAGACGCTCCCAGGCCCTCACCTTTGGAGCACACGAAGCACCAGCTCACATTAACGTGGGCGTGGTGCCGCTTCCCCTTCCGAGCAGTGAAATGGGCCGTGCAGATGATGCTGTTGGAGGCGATCACTGAGCACCCCGCCGCCAGACAAGCATCCCCGCTGTGATAGGCAACAGGGCAGCGGACACACCGCATCATTTTACCTGAAGGCAAAGAAACACACCCTAAGGGCCCCAAACACTGACCCCAGTCACGGTGAAAACGGCGCTAAAAATTACTCAGCCTCTATACATTTGAAAAGTTAATGCTAAAATGAATTGGAGGTATTTGATTTAAAAAAAGGTTTCAGAACAAAGGTGCTTCAACAAAACAATGTTTGAGAAAATGGTCACACATCTAAAATGCCATACTTTAAAATAAAGTCAACCAGTGTTTCTCAGCCTGGGCCGTGCAGGCATCTGGGGCATACAGGCAACTGCCGTGGGCACTGTGCAGTGTTGAGCAGCATCCCTGGCCTCTACTCACTAGATGCTGGAAGCACATCCCCAAACACTGCCAAACGTCCCCCGGAGGACAAAATTGCCCCTGATAAAGAACCACTGGTGTCAAGAAGTACAGACAACCTGCCACTCTCATCCCACACACCTAACATTAGATAATCAAAATGTAACTTGATTTAAAGATGTTTTCTTTCTTTCTTTCTTTCTTTGAGACAGAGTCTCACTCTGTCACCAGGCGCCAGGCTGGAGTGCAGTGGCGTGATCTCTGCTCACTGCAACCTCCGCCTCCTGGGTTCAAGAAATTCTCCTGCCTCAGACTCCCAAGTAGGTGGAACTACAGGCACACGCCACTATACCCAGCTAATTTTTTGTATTTTTCAGTAGAGACAGGCTTTCACCATGTTGGCCTGGATGGTCTCAATCTCTTGACCTCGTGATCCGCCCACCTCGGCTTCCCAAAGTGCTGGGATTACAGGCATGAGCCACCATGCCCAACCGTTTTCTTATGTATAAACAGCCTTTAAAACCAGAGCAAACAGGCTGGGTGTGGTTGCTCACGCCGGTAATCCCAACACTTTGGGAGGCCCAGGTGGGAGGATTCTTTGAACCCAAGAGTTCAAGACCAGCCTGGGCAACACATCAGTGAGACCTCGTCTCTACAAAAAAAATTAACCAAATTAGCTTGGCATCCTGGTCCACACCTGTGGTCTCAGCTACTTGAGAGGCTCAGGTGGGAGGATCACGTGAGCATGGGAGGTCAAGGCTACAGTGAGCCATGATCACAATACTGCACTCTAGCCTGAGCAACAGAAGGAGATCCTGTCTCAAAAAAAAAGAAAAGAAAAGAGGTCAGGGCAGTGGCCTAGTAGTTCAAGACCAGTCTGGGCAACATGGTGAAACCTCATCTCTACAAAAAATACAAACACTGGCCAGGTGTGGTGGTATGTGCCTATAGTCCCAGCTACTCAAGAGGCTGAGGTGGGAGGACGCTTGAGCCCAGGAGGTCAGGGATGCGGTGAGCCGTGACCACACCACTGCACTCCAGCCTGGGTAACAGTGAGACCCATCTCTATAAAGACACAAAAGCCAGGACAAACAAAATCTATCAAAATGGTCCAAAGGTTGCCCCTCTCCTAAAATTAAGCATCTTTAGGGTAATATTTAGGATAGAAAGAAGGAGGGGGACAGGTCCTTTGTCAAAGGAAACCCAACCCAGCCCATGTCCAGTTAGCAATGGGAAACAAGGGTCAACTCAAGATAATACTCTTTGGTGACAATCCCAACAGCCCACCTTCCCAAGCACCCATGGGCCTTCGTCTGAACCCACAGCAAGGCTGCGCAGGTGCACCTGTACCTTTCGACGGCCTTGGGTTTGAAGGGTTGGAAGCGTGGCAGCTCACACAGCTGTGGAGAGGGCAGCGGAAACCTCGGCTCTCAAATACAGTCAGAGGGTATTTTCTCACACAAGCCTCGTGATAAAATTTTCCACACTGAGTTACCACACAGCGTTTAACATCTGTCTTGTTCTCTTTACACACGAAACATGAGTGAATCCCTAACAAACAGTTGAAGAAGGGGTGGAGAGAGAGGTGCAAAGAACAAGAATTAAATTGTAGTTCTGAGCCACTAAAATCAAGCAACTCCTCTTCAGAGGCAGCCATGTTGCTAAAACCTGGCCCTGTTTCCAACCTTGCTCACTAGTCCAAGCATTTTCCAGGAAAAAAACCCAGCCATCAAGGATTACCTTGCTGCGATCTGAACTCCAGCGTCACCTGAAATACAGGAGAATCTTACTAGGCAGCCTGGCTGGGAAGGCGAGTCTAGCTGGCAAGAAGCTTGAAGGAAGGGGCTGCTATGAAAAGAGGCCTTTCCTCCTTGAGAGCAGCTGGCCAGTCACGGAGCAATCCCTTGTGATTCTGGGCAGACAGATGCTGCCAGCAGTGAGGTGCTGCTTTGGGACTGCCGTGGCCTGGGAGACTCTCCAGGTGTCTTCCTGACCCAGGAAGGTTTCTGACAAGAGCTGAGAGACTCCTTGGGCCCTGAGCATAGGCAGGATGGGCCATGGCTGTGTAGCTGTCCTCTCATCGTCCTCAGACACCAGACTATGCCAGGCGACACCTGATGCAGTAACGGGGAGGCAGAACAGCAGCACTGACAACTCAGGGCAAGCTTGGAGCTGTTCTTTCTGCTGAAACTGAAGCTCAAACTGATGCTGTGTCTTCGTAAAGAACTCCACGTTCCTATGGACTTCAGTGTTCAGTGACCAACCAGGTTACCTGTACCCTTAATGCTGCTTTGCCTGAGTGATGGTGCTCTGTGGTGGCCTCCTCACACACAGGACAGGCTGAGGCCAGCCCATGGGATAAAAAGCCCATGACCTATCATCCCGCCACCCTGCCCACCACCTGATGTAAAGGTACCAAGGGGGCACATACGACTGAAATCAGAGCAAACCCTGCAGCCACTGAGAGGTGAGTACACCTGCCAGATGTGGGCTGCAATCTCCCGAGAGGGCTGGATGATGGGGATGGGAAGGGAGCTTTTCTGTGGGCGCCCCAGGGCAGGACTGTGTGCAGGGGGTTGCAGGAACAGGAGGCTGGCCAAGCTGCAGAGCTGCCCACCCATGGGAACTTGCCTGAGGCACACTCGCTGCAGGTGAACCTCCCTTCTGGCCTCCAGGAAAGCCCAAGACAGGTGAGGTGGAAAGCTCCACAGCAGGGTCCTTCACACAGCAGGAGGCTGCCTGGCTTCTCACACAGCTGCAGGGACAGAGCAGGCGGGTAAGCAGCGCCCAGCAGTCCCTTCCACACCTCTCTTACCACAAGGGAAGCCGACTGTTTCTGTCTCCAGTGGCAGAAAAAATCCCATTCTGCTACTCAAGGATATACAACCACATGCATGGGCAAATGTCTGGCCTGAACAGAAGGCACAAATTCAGCATCAGATGAAAACCAGATGGCTGCTACAGAAAGGGGCCAGTCCTCAGCAACAACAAAGGAAACAACAGGATTACAACCTTGAAGGATACATCCAAGATATTTCAAACCAGATTTGAAAATCAACAGAAACCAAAGGCACCCTAATCTGGACAGCAGGTGCCACACTGACTGCAGACAGCATTCACACTTCCTATGCATCGACTGCCTGGCATGGAACCTCCCACGCCACCTCCAGTTGACAGATGGGGCAGGACTGAAGCACGGAGAGTAGGTGGCGTGGTTGGGGTCCTGTGGGCACAACAGATCTAGTGATGGCCCCCTCAGCCCGCAGCCTGGCCTGTCCAGTGTGCATGTCATCAGTGAAGCTAAAACAGGCCTAGCACTTCACCTTTTGCGATAGGAACTCACTCTCTTTCTCTGTGTGTGTGTGTGTGTGTGTGTGTGTATGTGTGTGTATGTGTGTGTGTGTGTATTACATGATGTATACACAAATCTCATCCTACATGTGAATTATGGATGTTAACGGAAGCAACTTAAATCCAGGATTCCACTGGCAGTCAGTCTGACCCCTTCAAAACAGAGATCAGTGAGTGATGATGAGACTGGGGAAGGGATCTGGAGGGAAGACAGAAGACACTACAAACTCGCTCTGTGTACCGGGGCCCCAGTCAGACACCAGCACAGATGCAGCAGAACTGCCTTCCCCTCACCTGGCACACGTATTCCTTTTTGGCTGTCACTCCTCGCTCAGACTTTTTGGATGAGACAGACACTTCAGTTTGTGTTTCGTCTGCACTTTCGTATGGGGACTCCGAGGGCTCGTCTCCTGGGCTGTCCGAGACCTGGAGATGAAGGAGGCGGATGACAGTTCACTAGTCACAGAACACAGTGGGTGGCTACGCCCTGCAGGCTCATCCTGCCAGCCCCACCACCCACCAGTCTTTCTCAGCACTGGTCCTGTTCTGCCAGTGATTTCACAGTGGAACCATCAGCAACCAGTTTTTGTGATAATATAATCCGTCAATTAGACAGTGTAGAAAATTCAAAAATGGACTTTATTCTACCCAGTATTTAGCATATATATGCACATAAAAGGCATATTCCTTAAAATGAAGGAAGTGTTATGAACATCCAATTTGCTCTAATAGGTGAACTAAGACAGGCTTTGGGAACAAGAATCTTGACCCTTCTTACCGAGTCTGTTCAGGTTCTACTACTCTAAGGTGGGAGAAACATGCTAACACCAAACCAATGCGTGAAGGAACCATGGAGGAAGCAAGTGTCAGTGTAAGGCCTCATCAGGTGACCGTGCTGTCCAGCTGCTGCTGGGGCGGAGACCACGTGTCCTTTCAGAAGTATGTGCCTATTCAGGGGTGCGGAGTCGGGAGAGTCTTCTAGACTCACACCACAGGCTGACCATTCGGTTTCTCTTCTTCCTCCCATTGCCTATTTCTCCTGATATTTCACAGCTCACTTGTTCTCCCCACCAGAGAAGTGAGGTGGGCAAAGGCAAGGTAAAATCTGCCTACTTTATTCAGATCTGAGTCTAAGTAAAAGGCCTAGGATAAAGGCATGGAAGGACTCGCAGGTTTTATCTCTTCTGTCTCTGACTCTCCTTCATTTACTAGAAATCACTGAAGACCAGGCCGAAGCCTCACCCTCATGTACACAGCATTTCACCCTCACCTGACAAGCAACATCAATAAATGTTTCAATGAATAAACTAGAAAATCTTCTTGTCTGTCAAATCAAGTGTTTAAAAAATTTGGTTTTTATTTGATGTTAGGTAAGTAAGTGTTGAATACTGAATTTTGGAGATGAAACAGAGCAAAAGCATAAACTACATTTCCTGTACACCTTGATAATCACAAAAACAAGTAATTATGTTATCGACTTGCTGTTTGCCTATGAACACAAAATTAGAAATTGGAATTGGAATTGGGCCATATGGAAAAACAAAAGCCAACCCCACCAGGGAATCTGACCAATCCTGTAACCTCATCAACGAGCTTTTCCACATTTAGCTGACATTACAGAGAGCGGTGGAAGAAAAAATTAAAACAAACACAGAAGTGTTTGCTGACCTCATAGTAGTATTAGAGTGGGCTTTTTTTTCCCCAAGACGGAGTCCTGCTCTGTCACCAGGCTGGAGTACAATGGCATGATCTCAGCTCATTGCAACCTCCGCCTCCTGGGTTCAAGCGATTCTCCTGCCTCAGTCTCCTGAGTAGCTGGGATTACAGGCATGCGCCACCATGCCCAGGTAGTTTTGTATTTTTAGTAGAGACGGGGTTTAACCATGTTGGCCAGGCTGATCTCGAACTCCTGACCTCATGATCCGCCCACCTCGGCCTTCCAAAGTGCTGGGATTACAGGTATTAGCCACTGCGCCCGGCCAGAGTGGGCTTTTCCCAAGGGCTTTCATCAGCTCTGACTGGCGACTGTGGGTGGTGACAGTGGGTGGTGACAGGTGAGAGCCGCTCTTCTCTAATCACTAGATATGTCTCCTGACGGTACAAAGTCTAAAGAAAATGCAGCCTCTTAGCCTTGATTTCCTCACCTTTTCAGGGAAGATGGACTAGCAGCATGAACGCCAATCAGAGCCGTGCATATGTTAAGGCTCTGTCACTGTGAGGCTGCTGGGAGGGCCCTGCGAGGGCCGCAGCTCACATCCTGCTCTTTAACACCCACAAAGGGCCACTTGACGTGCTCTGAGTTTAAACCTCAAATTTAACATGCCCATCAGATACGGACAGGGTCTGCAGTGGGGGCCTGAGCACCTCTGATATGAGACTGGAGGGGGCGCCAGGGGAGAACAGGCATCAGGAAGCAGTAGCCACACTGTCTGGGGCCCCACTTAGATGTCACCCACACAGTTGTCCAAGCTGACCCATCTGATGGGGGAACCAAGGCCAGGAGAAAGAGGCCTTCCCCATGGCTCAGGGGAGAGAGTCCCGGCGCTATCCACCAACCCATGCTCTTCCCTTAACATGGTGGAACAAAAAGCTTTAAAAATGAGGGAAAAAAATGCATGGAGAGAAAGACAGAAAACACAAACCAGTCCTGGATCAGAGGAAGGAACAGCACCTTTTATTTAAGATTTACAGAAAAAGTTAGCACGTTTCCACTTGGAGAGATTTCCTAAATTAACAAAGTCTGTTTTGAGGAAATAAACACTGAATACATATTTTGAATGGAAATATATAAATGTTAACGACACACATGAGGCTCATTTCCTGACAGGGTCTGAGACCCACATACAGAATATCGACCTTACAATAGTACAGTCCATAACACAGATTGCAGAGATTCCGACTTTTTCCCACCACACCGCCTCCCAGCCACTGGACAGACAACTAGCCACAGTCGGGGAGGATCCAACGCTCTCGGCTCAGCAACCACCCGCAAGGAGAGCAAAGTACGAGGGCGTCCCACAGCGAGCCTTACTCCAGCCGCAGGCTCCACCTCCACGCATAGGTGACGTGACTCACTCGGAGAAGCCATTTGTGGAGGTGGCACATTCACCTGTACGGTCCCAACACAGTCCCAAATCTCAGTCTACAACATCTACGATCTATTCCATATCCAACGGGATGCATTTGGAAAGAGAACAGTGCAGGGACTGAGCGGACACAGATTCTGTCAAGAACTTTCCCGTTGCTTCCCGCATCCACCACAGCCACGCTGCAGCACTGAGCTCCGAGCAGCTTAGCTACTGACTTTTCAAAGTTTTCTTGAGTCTGAAAATACTTTCTCCACTCTCTACTCAGAATAAGATAGTACCAAGTTGCCTATTTGCCTTAGAAATACACTCCTTCAGGGCAGGGAATGCAGTCTCCTTGATCTATTACAGGGACTTTTCAAGATATTACCAAATATAATGGAACCTAGTGAACACATTCCAGCCAACTGCTAAAAGCACATGGCCCTTCAGGGTGACCTGTATGAGCCACAGTCAGATGCCACCTTCTGTGACTGCAAAGCAGTCCCCTACTCTTCAGAGTGGCGTCATACACATTGAGTTTTTAATTTTTTGACAAAGCAAATCCCTTCACAACTTGAATACGACATCATTTTTGAAATACAATTACAGACCTTGAACAATAAATATTTCTATAAACTGACATAATTTTCATGTTGAAGTGATGCTTTTGTAAAGAAGGAAGTTGATGAGGAGTGCCTCCACAGTGTTTGCATTTACAAATGACAACAGCCCTGTGCTCAGCAGATTTAATAAGTTTGAAATGAAGACTAATCTCAAACAGGTCTTCCAAGTTAACAGAACAGTAAAATGTTAAAGTGGAATTAAAATAGGTTTAAAACAAGTCACTCATCATCTAAAATACTATAGTTCGTAATAATTTTTACTAAAATGACTCTCTAGGTTACACAGACTAGAACCTTCCTGGCTACCCCTAAATTCTAGGGTCAGGGCTGGGGGTGAGTTGCTAAGAACAGAGGAAGTCTCCATTCACATAGCACTGCTGCACGCCACCGTCGTCTTCTAACCTGCACAGGCTTTTGTATAGCCACACAGCACCAAGCAGGTGGCAGGAGGGACTAAGTGTCACCTGTGGCCAGAATGAGACCAGGCGGCTGCTGCTCCCAATTCGAGGCCTGCCCTTGTCAAAGGTAAAAAGAGTCTAAAATATCCTCTCAACCCAACTCTGTCCCACCGTGTCCTGAGCAGCGGCCATCCCACAGGGAGTGTGCTGGGAAGGCGCCTGGTCTGGTCAGCTACAGGCAGCAGGTTGTGTACTGTCTATGAAGGACTTGAGAACAATGACAAAACTGCGCACAATACACCTGCTTCCACAGGCACAGGTGCTGAGCAAACCCCCCGTCAGCCGGACCAGGACCCACACCCTACCTCAGTCATTTCTTAAAAATACTATATGCCTGGATGGTTAGCATGCTTCAAAATATTACCAGAGAGTTATATGCAAAAAGGCCAACAACTAGAGGTAGGCTAGGAAAAACCATAAATGTGGACCTAACATGTAACCATGGAGTTCAAAGGCATCTAGCCAACAAGATGAGGCCTGTTGGGCTGCTGGAGAGACACGCTGTTGTGACAATGTCCCAAAAGAAGCAGGTCCCTTGCTCATCCAGTACAGGAATCAGACGAATATAATACAGATAATTTTATACCTGCTAATTATAGTCAATTTTACATCACTGCCAGGTAAATTAGTGGTAATTTCTAATGTTCTAGGTAAACCAATAAAAATGGTACCCAAAGGGATCAAAATCAATTTCGTTGACCAAAAGTCTTAGAATATGAGTCAGCGTATTTCTTTTAAAATAAGCAAAACCCACTGGGCGCGGTGGCTCACGCCTGTAAAATCAGCACTTTGGGAGCCTGAGGTGGACGGATCACGAGGTCAGGAGTTCGAGACCAGCCTGGCCAATATGTCAAAACCCCATCTCTACTAAAAATACAAAAATTAGCTAGGCGTGGTGGCAGGCACCTATAGTCCCAGCTACTCAGGAGGCTGAGGCAGGAGAATCGCTTGAACCCGGGAGGCGGAGGTTGCAGTGAGCTGAGATCGTGCCACTGTACTCCAATGTGGGCCACAGAGCAAGACTCTGTCTCAAAATAAATAAATAAATAAAATGAAATAAAATAAGCAAGACCCCCAAAATTCTAGAAGTTAACAAGAAGCCAGTAACAGCTTTGAGAGTATTTTGGGAAACCTTTTCTAATGATAGTTACTTCAATTTATCCAGCAAAAGACTATAATTTAGCTTTGTAATCTCAAAGACAAACCACAGGCGTTAGCAATTACTCTGTTTATAGATTTTTTAAAACGATGAACCAATTGATTTTAAAAGCATAAAA